AATGTGCATTAAATGCTTTCCTTTCATGCACAGTCTTCTAGCCGTTGGATGTTTTTACCCGTTGAATTCATAGCTGTTGGATGTTGCTTGAAATCTTCTAAGTGTTCGTCGAGCTCTGATCAGGCTCTTCTGATGGCTATCTGATGAGTTGAGTTCTGATGGTCTTCTGACTGAACTCTGACTCTGATAGGTCCGCTGATGAGTACCTCTGATCTGTAGTTCTCATCGGCTATCAGATGTCCAAGTTTATCAGCAACTCTCAGTGGTGCAACTCTGATGGATTTCTGGTAAGAGAACTCTGACGAAGCAGTTCTCATAGAGCAAGTCTGGTAGAGCAGTTCTGACGCACTCCTGATCTGAACCAAAACTGAGCAACTCTGATCGTCGACTACACTAATACTTACAATTGAAAATTCTAATACATAAAATCGAATTTGGGGGTACTTTAAAATTCTAATCCTATAGCATCATCAAAATCTAATTACATTTATTCCTTACACATATATATACACACAAACATTCATGAACACAAGTATATAATATAATATGTGTACCCATAACCCTAACCCCTTACCCACCCTACCTTACCCCGACCCCACCCACCGCCTACCCCTACCCCCTACCCCTACCCCTACCCTACCTACCTGACCCCACCCTACCTACCCGACCCCACCCCAACCTGTCCCCACCCTACCCTACCCCCGACCCCATAGGCCCCCATAGGCCCCCACAGGCCCGTAGGGGTAGGGGTAAGGTGGGGTCGGGTAGGGGTAGGGTAGGTGGGGTAAGGGTAGGGGTGGGGTGGGGTCGGGGTAGGTGGGGGTTGGTTAGGTAGGGTAGGGGTGGGGTAGGCAGGGTGGGGTCGGGGTGGGGTAGGGTAGGTGGGGTAGGGTGGGGTCGAGGTAGGGTGGGGTCAGGGTAGGTGGGGTAAGGGTAGGGTGGGGGTCGGTTAGGTAGGGTAGGGGTGGGGTAGGTAGGGTGGGGTCGGGTGGGGTAAGGGTAGGGTCGGGGTAGGTGGGGTAAGGGGTAGGGTGGGGGTCGGTTAGGTAGGGTAGGGGTGGGGTAGGTGGGGTGGGGTCGGGGTAGGTGGGGTGGGGTCGGGGGTGGGGTAGGGTAGGTGGGGGTAGGGTGAGGTCGGGGTAGGTGGGGTAAGGGTAGGGTGGGGGTCGGTTAGGTAGGGTAGGGGTGGGGTAGGTAGGGTGGGGTCGGGGTGGGGTAGGGTGGGGTCGAGGTAGGGTGGGGTCAGGGTAGGTGGGGTAAGGGTAGGGTGGGGTCGGGGTAGGGTGGGGTCGGGGTAGGTGGGGTTGGGGTCGAGGTGGGGCAGGGATAACAATAGGTTACGGGTAAGGGGTAAATTCGGAAACTGAAAAAGCTTAAAGTGCCGCTTAATTAATACATGGGGGGTGGTATGCTTAATAAGCGGCACTTTAAGCACCTCTTTCGGTTAGTAAGCGGCTTTTTAAGCAGTGTGCGTGTTTACTTCACCTGTCTTACTAACCTAACTGTGACTTTAGCAGTGAAGTAAACACCTCCTAAATGTTGAGAACAAGAAAAGGAAGAATGGAAAACCCTATACCGATTGGCTACTCGGAATAGAAGGCCAGATTAATCTCAGGTTCAATTCCTAGGATATCTAAATTTCCAACCTAGCTTGATTATAAATAAAAGATAGACGTTGTTGCGTCTGGGCTTAACGAAAAAAATTATAGCCCAACGAGGTTTGATGAATTTTTTAATGGGAAAATTTCCGAAATAGGACTAAAACAGTTTGAAAATTCCAAAATAGAACTGCCATGTTTTTTATTCCCAAAATAGAAGTAATTACTTACAAGTTTGGAAAATACTGCCATGTTTGAAGTTTAGTACTACCAAAACATGACAATAATTAATCATATTTTGAGAATAAAAACATAACAATTCCATTTTGGAAATTTCAAACCTTTTTAATCTTATTTCGAATAATATTCTCTTTTTTAAATCACAGGGTTAATGATCAATTTCTATATCGAGTTTAATGCATTGACCCGAATGAAAACCTAGAAAACCGGTTGAACCGGGTACCCTTAACAACTCTTCAAGAAAGAAAAGGCTGGCAAACCCTCTCTCCCTCTGGTTCCTCTCTCCTATAGCTCCTGCTAAACCCTAACTTTTATCGAACAGAGCAAATCGCGACGGGTTTGTTAAAAATGGATTATCAGTCTCAATCTCCGAGTAAGGGAAACCTCAACAACGAACGAGATCTCCATAATCGGCGGCTCTACAACCCTTACCACGACCTCCAAATCCCAACACAGGCCCTTTTCCAGCTCCCGACAGCCCCCGAATTTCTCTTTCAGGAAGAGTCCCGTGTTCAAAGACGATCATGGGGAGAGAACCTAACCTACTACACCGGCATCGGATATCTAGGCGGAGCCACCGTCGGGGCTGGTAAAGGTTTCTTCGAGGGTGTACGAGCTTCCGAGGCAGGGGAGTCGATGAAGCTCCGGGTCAACAGAATTCTGAACGGGTCAGGTCACACTGGGAGGAAGTTTGGTAATCGGGCCGGTGTGATCGGGCTGCTCTATGCTGGGATGGAGAGCGGTATGGTCGCCATCAGGGACACGGATGACGTCATTAACAGCATTGTTGCGGGGCTGGGAACTGGAGCTATGTACAGGGCGGCATCTGGCCTGAGGTCTGCGGCTTTAGCCGGAATTTTCGGTGGAGTAGTTGTTGGATTGGGAGTGACAGCAAAACAGGCAATGAAACGTTACGTCCCGATCTGAGAAATCTGCTTGCTTGATTGATGGTTTGCTGGTGTGTAATGCTCTATTCTTAGCTTTGTTAGAGGTGGAAAAATTTTTGACCATAAATTGGCAGAACGTCTTTATTCGATTATATTGAATCAGCAAACCATGTAGTTGGATCATGAAAGCTTCAAACCCTTACCAGACATTCATTGTGTGGTTATCAAATTTAGCTGCAAAAGTTCTAATAATTTCATGTCTATTGCATAATGCCATATATTCTTCTTTCCTAGTTGTAATAATCTAAGATAAACCGGGTGTTACTAGTGGAACTGTCATGAATCTGTGTGATACTATGTGCATTGATGCTTGCAAATTAGGTTTAGTGTGTGCTCCCCTTCTTTTCTAACTGTTCCTTTAAGTCAATTCAAGTAAGCATCATCTTTCTTACTGTTTTCTGCCTTCTTTCTCCTCGAGTTTAGATTTATGCTTTCAAATTTAAGAGGTTCTTTTGGTTTTTGTGTGTGTTTCTCAAATGTCATAGTATTGGCGTGCTCTCTAAAACTGAACTGTGGAGCACTAGTAGTAAGCTTTCTTTGTTAAGGTAATTCTAGCAAATTGAATTATCCAAGGTGCATTGAAGCTATGGAGCCTATGGCTTCAGGTTGTGAACATTTGTGTTCTGTATGAAAAATGAACAGAATGTTCCTTTAACCCCAAAAATTTATGAATCATCATGTTATATAGTCTGTGGTTTTTATATTTTTGCCAAATTACTACTCCGTAATACACAAAAGTGGACATTGATCGATACACAAATATTTTCCCTCAATAGCTTGTTTGGATTCTCTAGTGAAGTCTTGCCCTTGTAGATCTGTCCATGTTGTACAACATAGAGATACTTCAAACTTACAACTCAAAGGTTAAGTTGAAATTCAAGTCTCACGTTGAAATATAAAAAATTGACATGTGGGTCATGTGGCTTTGTATTGAACTAGATAATTGTTTGAACTCAAAATTTTATTATAGTACTATTGTTTGTTCTATTTATCATTTATGACAAAGCAACCTCAGCGGCTCAGCCTAGTAATGAATTCGAATGCCTTGGATAAATAGATCATATTTAACCCACTTCATTTGTTGGTTCATCCCAATTCCCAACGAACATATGATTAATTATTCCACATTTCCACTAGGCCAATAGTTTGTGACGACTAAAATAGCTTATACTTTAACCCAACGTCCCAACCCATTCCTCAGTTGAGTCAGTTCTGCGTTTTGATGTCTAGTTGAGCATGATCCGGAATTTGTCCTGTAAATTTGCCCTGCAATACTTAAGCATACCTATTTTGTTCAAGAAAATTCGAGTTCAACGTTAAAGAAATTAAAATATTTGACATTTAATGAAACAAAATTTAATTTCAAGGTTCCCCATCTATCATTCCATTAGTTCTTAGTTACACACTTGCACATGAGGACATGAGGTGGGCATTTTGGTACAGTTCGATAGATCCAATGCATATATTGAACCAAACAAGAAATAAATTGAATAAATGTGTGTAGGTTCGAATTTAGTAATGTTTTCTTTCAAAACCTCATACATCCGAACGTAATATGAAGCAAATAAAAAAAATGTACAAGAGACACGCCTTCATGTCAATCTTTTACAAGTTTAGAGCATCTCCAATATGAATTAAGTCATTGAAATTTCTTTCTACAGTATTCTATGTGTTTAGTTACTTTTATAAAAATTCAGACCCCAATAAGTTGTGTTATATATTGTGGAGGAAAACTTATCCAAAATAGAGAAAACCATTAAAATAATGAGAGAAATATATCATTGGTCAATTTTATATGTCTATTCATATGTGCCCATTCCTATTTTTGGTCATGCTCTCAGTTTTTCTATTTATCAAATTTATTCTTTTTATGCTAGCAAGAATTTCAGTCCGGTCCCCCCCCCCCCCCCGCCCCCGCGCGCCTTATATCTATCTAAACAACCTTTCCTGGCCTTCCAGAAATCAAAGAAGGTGGAGGTCCGGTTTTGATGTTTTTGCTTTCGGTGAATATCTAATTAATCAATCAATATGGATGTAATAGTATATAGATAGTACTTGTTTTATTTTTGAATAAAATACAATTAAAACCGAGAAATATATCAATTACCAAGTCAAAGCAACACTACTGATATTCCTAAACCGTTGCAGCCATTTCTCCCACTTCCTCCTGATTTATCTCCCTCGACCCTATCAACTCACTCCTCTTCAAACCGCAGCCTTCATCTCCTCTCTATATAACTCACACTATATTCAAGAGCTCCCTTCTCATTACTCCAAACTATACACGAAAATGGCTTCTTCCAAAATCTTTCTGTGCTTCACAATACTCTCCGCCCTCCATTTCTTCACAGCATTCTCGAACGAGTTCTCGGTCGGTGGCGAGAAGGGTTGGGTCATTCCCAAAGATGATCAGCTCTACAATGATTGGGCTTCCAAGAACCGGTTCAAAGTTGATGACATTCTTAGTAAGTGTGTATTTATATACTTTTGCTATGGTCCTTTTTCGCCTAATTGTGCTGCGTTATACCATTACAATATTTCCGTTATAATACGTGTTACGGTCCGCAATTTAAAACCATCATATAAACCAGGATTACAAAATGTAATCCTGGTTTAAAATAAGAGTGCTAATTACTCTACCTTTTGAAACCGTTATGCTTTTCGGTTTACTTATTACTAAAATGGAGATGTTAATTGATTAAATTTCTAATATAGGGTTTGAGTACCAGAAGGATTCGGTTATGGTGGTGAGCAAGGCGGAGTACGAGAAGTGCCGGTCGGCTCGGCCGGTTTTCTTCTCCAACGATGGCCACACCGCCTATAAGTTGGACCGTCCCGGTTTGTTCTATTTCATCAGCGGGGTTTCAGGCCACTGCGAGAGAGGGCTGAAGATGATCGTCAAAGTGCTTGAAACGGAGAACCCGCCTCAGCCCAGTACTCCGGCGACAGGCGGGAATTCTCCTCCGGCGTCCGGCGGTGCTATGCCGGGCCTTAATGCTTCTGCCGCTCAGTTTGCTTTCATAATCATCTCATTCCTTGGGACCATCTTCATGTGATTTGTTTAGGTTGTGTTGGGGTTATGGATTCTCAGATTTCTTAGTCTTAGTCATTAATTATTTCGTGTTATTTTCGCCGTAAAGACTGAATTCAGATTCTTAAGCTAATATATACGTAGTATGTTTCTTGTTTCGGTTTATGTTCGATCGTCTTGTGCTTATACAGAGTAGGAGTATATTTTTGTTGAAATTCATTTTATCCTTTATTTATCTTGAAGGTTGAAAAACAGAATTTGATAGTTCCCTTTATTCTAATCTCCTCATCATTTTGTATTTTATCCCCGCACATGACATATCATTATCCATGAATTAATGGTCGAAACTCGAAAGTGGTTGATATGCTGGGATATATTCGTACTTTTAAAATGATTAAAAACAATACTTTTCGTGACTTAAAGTTATAAATAAATAAGGAAAAGGGGTTAAATAAGTCCTTGTAGTATTTCCAATCCATCACTTAAGTCCCTGTACTAAAAAAAGTATCATATAAGTATACATACTTTTAAAATAAAATCAACCAAGTTATTTGACCTGCTATAGAAGTTTATTTTTTTAAAAGTTAAATTAGGGATATTGATAAATCTTACAAAAATTCATTAAAATTTGAATAAATAATCTAATAGTAATATAAAAAATGATATGGAGTATAAATTTAAAAATAGATTCTAAAATTTTAAAAATATTAAAGTAAAAAATAAAAAATTTATAAAACAGAAAAAGACAAGTGAAACTAAAAAAATGAAAATAAAAATTTAAATACCTTTTAAATAGATGTAGAAAATAAAAATATTTTTAAAAATTAAAAAATATTGACTTTTATATTCTGAAAATTTTCACAAATTTTGTATATATATCTTCAAATTTAACAATTTTTTAGAGTTATTAAATATTAAAACCTGCTATTACATGTCAAAAACTTATTAAATGGTCAAATTGATCAATTTTATAAAGTTGACGTACTTACATGATACTCTTTTTAGTATAAGGACTTACGTGATGGATTGGAGTTAGTAGTAGTGTTTATTTGACCCTTTATTCAATGAATAATGAAAACAATAAGTTCAACGAAAACCACGTTTAATTTATCAAAACCACTTTTATTAGTTTTAACAATAGGTTTAAACGAATCTCAAATTCATTGTATGTTTTAATCACTGTCGAATTTTCTTTTTGGCCTCTTCTAATTTTGAAACCATCTCTATTTAAAAAAATTAATGTCGGTTGTATAAATGTACTCCGTAATACAAACTTTTAAATTTATCATTTCAAAAAAAGTTACGTGCAAATATTAGAGCTAAAGGATTGTACAATTAATCGTTCACATTTTTAAAGTAAGGATTAAGGACAATTACAGTAAACTTATGTATTTTTTAAATACATGAGAAAGAAGGAGAGAATATCAATTGACATAATAAATGTTAAAAAGAAAATCAACATAAATTACAGGAGTAAAACACGAAAACCATTTTACAGAGACGTACATCAAAGAACACACTATACTTGCGTGGACTAAAAATATACTCTCTAATGATTATTAGATTAACTGTTCTGAATGTGCACAGTAATTTTATTACATAGAGATATTAAAACTACTTCTAGTATTTCTCTGAAAATTTCTCATTCGAAAATTATCCAGAATTGCATGCAAACATTGTTATAATTAAATACTCCGTAGTAATAAGTAAAACAAAAGAAGCATTTAATCTATAAAAAATTAGATTAAATCCAAGACCAAGCAGATCATAAATAATTCACATTAGTTATACTTTTGTACTCATACTATATAAAATGTAAAATAATAATTCTTTGAGATATTTGTCCCTAGTATGACTAGAAGTCCTTAAGTTTCTCAAAATATGACCTCCCAGTTTTATTTCTTAATTTATGTTATCCGAATCATAGATCATAACCATCCCATCCGCTGAATTTTTTTTATTCCATCGCTACCCTTCAGTCAACCTACGGTCAGCGCATCTTTATACTAATTCTTTTTAAGAATTTATTTCACGATCTTCTAAATTAGGTAACCATTTTTCATTCCGATTCCCTGTCGTCTTTAACCTTCCTTCTCTTCAGCTTGTTTCGATGAATTCCAAATAATTCTTCGCTTGTTCTATTCGTTCTTCCTGTTTAGGAGATTATGGAAATCGTTTATTCTCCAAATCCTTCTCCAACGATACATGTCTTGATGAACGTAGATGGCCAGTGGTTGTCCGACATTGAATTTCAGAGCTCAACCTCCATCGCTGTTGATATTCCTTTCTGCTGCAAGTGGATTGAATTTTGTGGAATTGTATACAATTCGTTGGGCCTAAGAGATCGTGATCGTGTTATACGTATTTCATATGTGTTTCAAGCATGTCCTCCACCGCTTATCATTAATGACGATTCCAGCTTCAGTTTTTATCTTCAGATGAAAAGCATTCAATCGGACTTGAACCAACTTCCTCTTTGTGTAGAGTTTCTTCCACCGTTTCAAGGTTAGTAAAATATTTCTCCCCTGGTTTTATCTTTCAGTTGCAATTTAACTATATGAATTTAGTTTTCAAATTATCTGTATTATTTTTAATTTTTTTATTTTGATTTCAAAGGATGTACTGAAACTGTGTCAAACACGATTAATTACTCTTTTTCGGATGATGAAGTTTTGGATGGTTTTGAGGATTCTGAAATATTAGCAGCAGCAGGCCAACAAACAATGCACTGTAGTGATGTTTTGGAGGATTCTGATTTCAGCCCTTTGTGTTTTGATGAAGATGTTATGAATGATGACTTCACATCTTCGGTTGAGGTTCCTCTGTGTTCTTCTGTTCCCCACTTTGACCCCACCCGTCTTGCTATGGATGCAATATATGAAAGCAAGAAGGAGTTTAGTTTTAACTTGAAGATGTATGCAATAACTAATTTTTTCCAATACCGAACAAAGTCATCTTCTCCTAAGGTGTTACATGTTATTTGTGTGGATCCTGATTGTCTGTGGGCTGTTCGTGGAGTTCGCTTGGATGAAAGTGGCTTGTTTCAAGTGCGTAGGTTAGTGATTTCTTTTTTTTTTGGTTATGTATTTGTTTTAGTTATCTTCTCCTAAGTTGTTTGCTTACTGTTTACATTACATTATTTAATGCAGTGTTATTGAAGTTCTAAACTGCAGCTAATGAAAATATTTAGACCTTATATGTTGTTGTTTTTACATGAACATCCATGTGAAGTTGCATATTTTTGATGAAGTTTGTTGTGACTATTTGCATTAAATTATACACTGCAATTACTCAATAAATTATATCATTTTTATATTTCTATTTCTGTATTAAAATTGTTTAGTTATGTTGTTTTTTTACTTTGCCAGGCTTTTGAAGTTCCTTATTTTCGTTGTAGTTAGTTGTCATTATTTGGACAAAATTTATGTATCTCAATAAATGCGTCATTACATGCTGTTAATGCCATCTGTACTTGTTCATTTTCAGATTTGATAACGACCATACCTGTCCCATTGATATTAGACAAGCTAATAGTCGCCAGGCTTCTTCTTCTCTTATTGCTGAACTGATCAAGCATGAATTTGATGACTTGTCCAAAAGAGCTTACACACCTCATTCAATCATGAGAGATATGAAAAGATTGCATGGAATTGTCATGTCATATAAAAAGGCTTGGGTTGCAAGGGAAATTGCATTGAAATTGGCTCGGGGATCTGAGAAGGAGTCGTACAGTAGACTTCCTTCTTTGTGCTACATGCTTGATAAAGTAAATCCAGATTCGGTTGTTAGATATTCTTGTAATGAAACTGGAGAATTTCAGAACTTTTTTATGTCTCTTGGTCCATGGAGACGTGGATGGGAGAAGTGCATTCCAGTTATTGTTGTTGATGGATCATTTTTGAAATCGTATTACAAGGGAACACTGCTCACGGCCTGCACACAAGATGCTAACAAGCAGATTTTTCCACTTGCATTTGCTATTTGCAGTGTTGAAAATACCGTTAACTGGACTTGGTTTTTCAACATGTTGAAGAATTGTCTCAACCATAGAAATGGTTTGTATATTGTGTCTGATCGGCATGAAGGAATTATAAATGCCGTTCATTCCGTCTTTCCATATGCGGAACATGGATATTGTGTTTATCACATATTAGGCAATATAAAATCCAAGTTTAAAGGTACTGCAAAGGTGTTGTCTTGGAAATTCTTACAAGCAGCGAGAGCGGGTTCTGTTTATGAATGTGAAGAGTATCTTTCCAGGCTTGATTATGATGACCCGCGTATACGTACGTACTTGCAAAAGATTGGTAATGAGAAGTGGTCTCGTGCATATGCTAGCCGCAACCGTTATTCTGTGATGATGTCTAACAATGCGGAGTCTTTGAATGCTGTTTTTGTCACGGCTCGTGAGTATCCCATCTGCAAGTTGATTGAGTTTATAGTACGCACAATGCAAACATGGTTCTGTGAACGCAGAGAAGAAGCTGCATCAAACAGATCTCTACTCTCTGCTTACTTTGAAGCGCAATTACGTCTATCGCAATCAAATGCTGCATTAATGCAGGTACTTTACTGCATTCATACTGTACTGCATTTTGGCTTTTTGTTTTTGTATGAAATGATGAGGTTCTGCTTTATGTTACCAGTTTTATGTTTATTTTTTATGTTTTTGTAGGTCAAGCCATCATGTATCTTTGAATTTGAGGTCTTTGATGCGAAAGGAAGATCATTTGTTGTCAATTTAAGAGAAGGGACTTGTACATGCCGTGAATTTGAACTTGATGGCTTCATATGTGTTCATGCCGTTGCTGCAATCCGTTCTCGTCCGGGACTTTCTGCTTATGACTACATTCCTGAATATTATACTACACAGAAATGGTGTTCAGCTTATGAGGGCATCATTCATCCCATCGGTAGTTACGATTGTTGGGTTGTTCCCCATGACGTATCTCAAATCATTTGCAGCCCTCCATCTTGTTCTAAGAGACCTCCTGGAAGACCCAAGAAGCGACGTATTCCATCTACCGGTGAACATGTGCGTCAACAAAAGTGTACACGTTGCTCAATGGTTGGTCACAATAGGAAGACATGCCGAAACCCCATTTCTCGCACTCGCTCCTAATGTTGAATCTGTTTTACTTGTTTAGTTTTACTCCTAATGTTGAATATGTTTTACTTGTTTAGTTTTACTCTTGAGTTACGCTTTACACTTTTCCCACTTCTTCACAATTGTATTCAGGTGAGAAGTGATACAGATGTTCTGCTACTAATTTCTATCTTTGAATAAAGTTTGTAGTCACGGATTGCAGTAATACATGCAGTTTGTTTATGCATTGATGACCATTAATGCGAATGTTAACTCTCACTTAGGTATTTATGTATTCAATCATAATTTTACAAGTGTTTACTTAGATTGATATTTCAATCCCTGTGAACATGTACACTGACACAAATGTACATGTTCCTTAATGGTTGTTCATAATAGCAACACATGTACAAACCTCATTCCTCAATTATTGTTTTCCCCACTTCTTCACATTTTCCTTCTTTTTACAAGTCACTCATATGTTACTTTATTCATTTGTGTTGTTGAAAAACTATAAACATTTTATAAACAAAAATACATATTATTGAAACGTAGTATTGAAATATACATTGCTTGTCTTTTTCATTCACATAGATGAGTACCAACATACCGTAATTACGTGCATTGATGGTATGTTGTGCTGATATGCATTAAATATAGCATTGAATCATATAAAAGCTAATGCTCATCATCATCAAACCTGTACTTAGGCATCAATTAATATAAACCATATTTTTCAATGCAAAATATTCAGTACTTCAAAACATCAATATTATGTCCAATCCACCCAAAAGTGCTAAAGTAAATCCATACTGAAGTTTAATCAAAATAAACCATCCTGACAAAAACCAAAATCCACACCCAATAAGTTTCATTCACAGCATTACACATTTGTTTTAAACATTCATTCAACACTGTCCAGATTAACCAGCCCATTGTAATGCAGTATCTCGGCCACCAGCTTCTTCCTATAAGTCCACATGTCCCTAGACGCCACTTCTTGAGGATCTTTCCCCATCATTAGGTACTCTGCCATTTTGAGAACAAATAGCCCACAACTATCCCTGCACATTTGAAAAAATTTACAATGTTAGTTATGTACCAATACACTATATATATTTAAGAAATTCAATGCATTTACCCGTCATTTTGTTGTGGACTGGATTCCATAACCCATCCCACTTTTCCTTCTCCAATTGGCTGTTCACCACGCTCTTCGTACACCCTGCACCAATCCATTAGATGTCCTAAATGATTTTCCAAACATGGTAAGAACTGACTCAATTGTCTGCTTGGGGTTTTAAGCCGGTTATTGGAGTCATAAATCCTAATACGCTTCTCGCCCACATCAAGCACAAGTAGAACCCAGTGATGCCCAATATTCATCGGCATGTACACATGCTCACATTCTGCCCATGGTAGCCCGTAAGGCACATTTGTCCCAAGTATTGATCCCACGACACTTTTGTTGTGTACAGACTCTTCAAGTGTGCTTTCTTTCCTCACAATGAGATCATGGTGTTGTTTCAGCAGTGCTGTAAAATAGCAATCTGTTGTTGTGAACTTCTGCTTCAGAGAGTACTCTTGTGCTTTGACCCGCAGGTAGTATAATATGACATCAATGTGCTGTATAAATGAAATCATGATAAGTAGTATTAATACTCAATTTTAACATTGTTTAAAAATTAATAAAGACAATAGATATACTTACTGTGTCTTGTATCCAATTCCCCTGAAACCATATGGCGTAGTACCAGGACTTGCTTGTCAGTCTTCCATCATTCCACAATGGTGTCATGTTTCTCAATTTCAGCATTTCATGTTTTGCATTATACTTCTTCACGCCAGACTTTTCGTGATTTCTTAGTAGCCCCGCATACATGAAATCAATTATAATTTCTTGTAACTTATCACTTGGCTGCTGTTTTGGGTCTAATGTCAGAGGCCCTCTCACTACTACCTTTTTTAGCTCATTTCTTGCGGCATCCTTCTTCCTTCTTTTCCCGTTTCCGGGTCCTGACAAAGACAACCTGTTTGGTGCTTTAGTATCTCTCCTTGGCCTTTTCTCAACGTCTTCAAATGCACCATCATTCATCTAAATTATAATACAAATTACTTAAAACATAAAACCAGAATACTAGCACTACAATAAATTTGCAGAAGTTTACATGCATTTAATTTCAATTTATTATCAGCATATTATGAAAATAATATACCTCAACCCCATCCTTCTTTTGGCGATCATCACATTTCTCACCATTTGGTTGCTCAGTCATCACCACTTCGACTCTCTCTGCTTCAGCACTTTCTACCTAAAGTTTTATACCAATTCATTAAATAATATCACTACAATATAGCAATAGCAAAATAGGAAAAATGTAACTGCATTTGATTAAAACATACCCCATTCTTCTGGATATCTTCAGAGTTCTGAACGACTGGAACCTCAATGTTCGCTGCATCCACGGCTTCAGTTCTTTCTGATGTATTGTCAACTTTGTTATTAACAATCATATTTTCCAATATTTCATCCACTGCATTAACCAATGCTTGGGTATTGATTGGTTCTTCAAATCCATCTCCCCAGTCTGTCTGCACTTCAGATGCTGCCATTTCATCCTTTGTTCCATTTCTATCTTTGCTCTCTTCAGCTTTGTCATTACTCTTCTCGTGCTCCGCTTCATGTAGCTCTTCACTTTTCTGTTCTTCATCGTCTTCACTTCCATTGTTGAACTCTGGTGCAAGTTCAAATGATGGAATGTCCACATCTCTGACTTCTTTTCTTTTCCTGATCAAGGGAAACCTTCTGCTTATATCAACCTTTCCATTTTTTGCATTCACCAACAGCTTTTTAATCATGCTTGCATGCTTCACTTGCAATTCACAGAGTTTGGTAACTGCCCTCTCAAGTTTCTCAATTCTTTCACCCTGTGCTCTCACTTCTCTTAAAATATTCTTGATTCCCCTTTGTCTTATTTTGTTCCCTTCGCTATCTTCACCAGATGGATCTTCATTTTCATCAACATCATCCTTTTTGTTTTTTCTACTCTTTACTCTCCCCTTCCGAACTTTACAACCACCATTTGTAGCCTTTCGTCTTGCTTTCTTGACTGGCTGTGAAGAAGCTTCTTCACTGCTTATTTTCTCCAAAGCATGTGCAACACATGTCTCTTCTAACTCCTCCTCTGTTGGTTTCATCTCTTCCCATTGAAACTGCAAATTCCAGATTTCCATTACAATTAATAACCATACATCATAATCACCAAAATGCATTAAACATAATCAATATTTATCACAACCATTATAAAATACATATGAATATAAATTTTACCTCTGGATTATTGAAAATAATCTCTGCAAGAACCACAGATGATGGCTTTGACGTGACAGACCAATTCAATGTCCTTGGCCAGTAAGTTTCGGGCCTTTTCAAGCACACTCTCGCTCTGTTCAGTTCAGGAAAAGTCTCAAAACCCCATATTTGTAGGGCAAATACATATCCAGGGAATGTCACCCTAGTGCTCTTTCCCTCCCCCAATATTGCTGCACACTTCGGAACCTTATCAACCAAATCAGACCACACGATATCACCCCATGGAAACTTATTGAATGCATCAAGGTCATCTACCAGGTTGATGTAAGTTGTAGGCACTTTGAGTGATTTCTGGTTACCTAGTATGTAGTTGCCAAGAACATGCAACAATGCTAACTTCACCGCATCAAATGGTTGCATGTCTTCTCTTCTATTATTAATGGATTCAAATGCTTGCCGTAGGTCTCCCCGGTCAAGACTTGTCTTTCCACTAAAGTGCCTCCTCCACAGTTCCCCGTCGCAACGAGTACTCATAGCTGGTTTGTTCCTCCCAAACTCAAATCCTGTTATCAAGGCTAGGTCTTTTTTCTTCATTCCTACTACTCTTTCTCCAATTTGAAACTGAATTTCATTCATAACAGTCATCTCTTCCACAGGTGCGACATGATTTCCTATCAGCATGGATATCAGTTGTGCATTTAACCATTTCAGATTTCCTACATCTAACATGTATCCAAATACGGTCTCCCTAAACAGTTTCACTTCTTCTTCAGTCAATACACTCTTAATACTTTCAACAGCCTTCACTGGATTGCAGAAACTACTAACTCTCATGTCGTCTCTTGTCTCCAGAACTTCAGCATTACAGTAACGCTTATATGCCTAGGACAATATACATAATACAAGTTAACACCTCCAATAATGACACCACAATATGTTTTTTGCATTACTTAATATAATTAAAGATCCTCAATAACTGCATATCATGTTTTCATTCTTACTGCAGGTTCCAAGTAACACCACACACTACTACGTTCCCTAAAAAAAACCTTAAAATTTACATATACTCTAAGATGTAACACTCTCAGATGTAAGAAACATGGCATACATATACCACATGCTAACACTACATGCAACGATATATCACACTAAAATAAATAATAGAATTCAATGCACTAATTTACTTAGTTTTCAACTTCCTCAATGCACAAATGTAGTTAGCTCAGTTTACAATTTCAACAAAAAAACACTTCAATTACATGCAGTGAAAGCCATATTTCCAAATGAGTCAACTACAAAGACACTCTACCTAGATTCAAATCACATATTGAATTCTATCTGATTCACTGCACAGAGTACTCAGTAAATATTAAAAATATTGCATACCATAATACATTCAACAAATACACGCATTTAGTCTGATCTATCACACTAAAACAGACACTATTTTAATCCACATTTCAATGCACACAATTACTTTTCTGAATTTGAAAATTTAAACAACCAAAAACTAGATTAAGTGTAGTGAATCTCATATTTCAATTTGCATTTCCAAATTACTCAACAACACACCAACTAAACAACAACAATATACACTCATTTTCAAACAACATCAATGCATGCATTCAAGTCGCATATGTAATGAATTCGCTAACATAAATGTTCGTCAAAACATTGCATTGAAGCATTAATATGTAATTACTTCATGAACACAAAAAATAAAAATAAAAACTAACCACGCCGTTGATTTTGACGATTTCGTAGTCCAATTCATCGCTGTTTCGTCGAGAGTTCCCTTTTTTCTTCACCATCGTTCGTCTTCCTTCTTCCTCTCTGCAGCTTATGAGTTCCGGATGTCGTTTTTACCAATTCTAATTCACCGCTCTCATTAACTGAAGGTAGTTTTAGCATTTAACTCCTTCCATAATTTGAACTCTGAAAAAAACCGCTCAGCCGAATTTTTGCTCTACCCGATGGCTTCTCGTAGATCCTCAATGCACGTTTTGTTTCCTTTTTGGGGGTATTTTCGTACTTTAATAATACCGAATAAACCTGGCCGTTTTTTTTTTCCAATTTTTTGTCATTGGACCGACTAAAAACATGTCAGGTCATAGTTTAAGAATTCTATCGAGTTTTGGTAATATGTGGGTAAATTCCCATCATAAAAAAACGTGATCTCAAAATTATGGCACATACATTGCATAACGAGAGTATATCTATGCAGAATCGACACGACAATGATGAAATTTTGATTTCGACTTTGAGCATAACATCGTTTTCACCTCTTTTTACTTTTTCATTCTTAAACTATGTACGAAAATCTAAAGTCTCAAACTTTAGTGATAAATTAACTTTAAATAGATCATTCCAAATTAAACCTGACCTAAAACTTCCGATGCAAAATAAAACATCCTATTAAACCACGAGACTCTTTTTAAAACTAAATCATCGTCCCATCGACTATCGAGTACATATTGCCAAATATTTGGAGATTGCGCACCTAAATGACGGGGAGGTGTCTCAAGCCCCGAAGATGGGCTACAATGCCCACCTTTTTGTAGTATAGAAAGGAGATTCAAAAGGGATTGAAGCAAGAGAATTCCATCAAGCTGACTTTTTCTTTCTTGTTTTGCATTTTTGATTTCACATTGAATTCGATCGATTGCTTATTGTGTTTTTATTTTGTTGTATAATAAGGGGGAGGGTATGTGTGTTGATTTACTTTGACAAGTAAAATTCTTGTTGGAGGTAATTATGCTAACCCAACCGCTCATAGCCTCTATGCTTTCACTGTTTCAGCGAATAGTCTTGTTCTTCTCGGAGTGGAATATTTTATGTATGATCATGACGTGACGGTATCGATGGGCTTTTGGTATTGGTTGGATAGAGGGAGATTTAGATCTTGAGATATGATTGTTGCTTTGGCTCTTTAGATTTTAATATAATCTATTTCCTTTTATAAAAAAAAGGCAAACAATGTATTGTAGTTGACTCGTATTTTCTTTGTCCCAAATTGACTTGCAATTTGCAGATTTTAAAAGTTAACTAATGATAAAGTTGAATGAATGTATACAAATAGTTAAATCAATTTTAATAATAGATGTTTACATATTCAAAAACTACATTAAAAGTGTTATAAAGTCCACAAACAAATCTAAATTAGAATATAATAAAAAAAAAATGATATGCTAAATAAGTAGGTAAAGTAAAGTTGATTTTACAAATCATTTTGCAATGAAGTATTAAATAAAGTACAGAGCATCTTCAATGTTACAATGTGCACGGTGCACATGTGACATGAAAGAGATAGATACAAAAGGTTATGTATGACATTTATCTCTTCTTCTTTCTACATTCTTATGTGTTTTTGGTAAGTTCTTCTCAACAATGTCAATCACAATGTCTACATCTAAACATTGTGTTTGACATTGTGAAAAAAACTTACCAAAAACATATACGACCGTTCAAATAAAGAGAGAAATATTTTTTATTGTGTTTTAATTGACTATTTCTCATGTCACGTATATATTGTTCACGTTTTTGCAATGGAGATGCTCTAAGAATGTTTTCTTTGGACTATTTCCGGTCTCAGACCAGACTTAAACAGATCAGACCAAACCAGACCAGATGTGGTTATGTGGACAATTATAAAATACACAGAGACGAGACATTTACCAGACCAAATCGGACATAAACAGACCAAACTAGCAAATTGCAGTTCAAAAGAAAACATCCTAAAAATGATGGTCGAACTTAAAATTCCTCTCCAAGTGAGAATGAATGAGAGAATGTGAATTAGTTAAGAGTTATTCTTTTGCAAATAAAGTACGATCAATTAGGGTAGTATAGTTTTAAGTATATATGTAATGTTCCTCGCCACTTCAACTGGACTTGTTTTATATATTTAATTCTATTACATTAGTGGGTTATGTTCTACGTTATTGAAAGTTTTAAATTCCTGCTTAATTGGGAATTAACTAATGTTCAATTGTTCAGTTACTTCAGTACTAGTGTTCTAATTCAAAGCAACCTACAAGTCTACAAACAGAAGGCCAAAATGTCAATTGTATAAGAATTTAAAAATTAATAATATCAACCACAATAATAATAATCCAAAACTGCAGTTTTTAAATTAATCTCATTCAAAGCAGCAAGTAAATAAGGTTAGAACAAAATTGCATGGTAAACAAGGAAATCCCCTCCTGTCAGACAAAGTGAGAAAGCCCTTTGCAGACTTCCCTAACTCACAAGTATACTAGAAATTGGTCTGCTCTCACTGAACCCCATTACGCCTGCCTTCTCCTTTGTGCTTCTTCCGACACTTGGCCGCATTGCTGTCTATATTTATATTTATTTTCGGAGGAGATGAAAAACAGAAAGATGTCGCAACCGCCTGCCAGAAGACACTCGAAAACAATGAAAAATCAACACTGAGTAGTAAATAAAGAAAAACTAAATGTATGAAGCAGGTATTAAGGAATTATGCCGGTCAAAAGGACTTAATTATAGGGCTCCTAATCACATTGCTTGCCAAACTTCATTTACTTTATGGCAGAGATGATGTGAAAATCAAGCAAAAAACTAAATATAATGATAACCAATTTGTTTTTCAAGAAACAATTAGTATGGGTATGCTAGGATAACTTATAGGAATTCTACCAGACACTTCGAATACAATCTTGACATGTTGTGGTCACACACAGATTATTTGAAATTAAAGCTAATAAATAAAGTACCTGCAAATCAAGATGATGAACATTAAAAATATCCTTCATGGAGTGCAAATTATAAGCCAATATGTAAGATCTGTAAGCCTCTTTAGCGGATTTATTCAGGTAATAATTATTAGAGACCAATTTTTCCTGCAGCAGAACCACAAAGATGATTCATTTTGGTCAGACAAATTTCACATCACCCTTTTTAGAAAAGAAACATTTCAAGGTTCACTCATCAAGGTAAAATGTAAGTCTGGAGTGGAAATACCAGGTGAGACTGCACACTAGCCAGCTTTCTGTCATCAAATTCATACTGTTTTACAGGGGCTTTTGCCACCTGACAAATGATTTTGTAAAGAATAATAGATCAGATCATACGCACATACATATTAAATCTCAGCAGTCTAAACCTATGTTGCACGGAAATGTGAAAATCACGAGGAACGGGAAACGGGAAACGTCAACTTTTGCTCAAAAAAACGCTTATTTGGAGAGTTTCGGGAAGCTCCCGAAACGAGAAACGTACTCTCTCCCGAGAGTTTCCGTGCTACATAGGTCTAAATGCCGATATAAATGAAAAATCTTTTCTTTTTTCAAGAAAGGACTATTATACGATGTTACCTTAAGTCCTTGTTTGGAAGTATTTGGTGGTCATGATTAGATTTCTTGGAAATAGATATGAATTAGGACACGAAGGGAGGGAATTCACTCAATATGCATAAATACAAAGTCAATTCAAACAATACGTAGACGTCTATATATTAGAAAGTTGTTCTCACAATTTGAATCTCTGACCTAATACATGAGAATGAAGCTTTTACGACTGCAATTAAAATTGTGTAAAAAATGGCAGCCCGATGCACACTGTCATCCTTGCAAGTTGAGGGAACCGGGGGTAGGATCCCACCGCAAGGGTGTAGGAGGGGCAACTGGGCAAGTTTTCCTATTTGTCGAATTTACTTGTTTAGAAATGCTAGAAAGAATTTCCATCTTGTCCTCAGCCATATATCTACAAGATAGCTCATTTGCTTTTAACTGAATACTTAGACTTAGTACTACATAACACAGACCTTGAGATATAAAAGAAAATTCATCTCCTCCTGAATGAGGAAGAGTATGTCGTTCCCTTACAACTCTGTGAATATACTCCTGGAAGAATATACACATATATCACATTACATTGACTTTCAAAACTTATGCTCCCTCCACCCCGAACAAGGTACAACTGTATTAAACCAGACGGAGTACATGATACTCGCATTAGAAATAGTACTCTTTGGACAATTTTGGTTGTAGAAACGTGACTCTTTTAGACGACAGGAGGGTAATGACAATTGAATAAATATCTCTGTACCTTGGGCTCATCTGGGGGGTCATATTGTATAATCCAGTCCTGGAAAGGAAGAGAAAAGATAGTCTGTATATCAAACTAATGTTTAAGAAAGTGGGGATTCTCAATGAATGAAATGTGAAGACAGCATTAGTTTAAGTAAATATATGGCAATGTATAACAGTTATAGTTTGCTAGTGTACTTGGGAATAAACAAGGTATAGTTATTAGAAAAGCACAGAATTGAATATGAAGGATCATACCACAGCAGGGATATCAAGACCCCTAGCAGCAACATCAGTACCTAACAAAATGCCTTTTTCGGCTTTGCAGAAATCAAAGAAGGTAGAGGTCTGCTTTTGCTGTTTTTGCTTTCCATGAATATCTAAGCAATCAATATGAATGTACCGAAGAAGTTCAGAGTGGAACTTTACGGAGTTGCACGAAGAGAAGAAAACCATTAATTTCTTTGAAAGGTTTTTCTTCAGAAAAGAGTACAGAAGGATGAACCGCTTGGCACTAGGAATGACACAGTACCCCAGTTTGAGTCCTTCATTTGTTACCTGATTTAACCCCACAAAGAAATGTCAAGTGCAACTAAATTCAAACATCGATGATGATAATACAAAAAGGAAAAGCAGATACATTTTGTACCCTCTTTCTTCCATCATCCATGTCTATATAGATAGGAGTTGTTTGGAAAGACAAGCGTGCCAGATTACAAACTTTGAATCTTACCAAATAACATGCAGAGCAATAAACTCTCAATCATACTAATAAAATATTTAAACCCAAGAAGACATCAATACAGATTAGTTTTAAGAGGTGTACCTCATCTCATTAATAGATTTCATAGTTAGCTCTGAGAGGCCCATAGTTGCAAATGACTCGGTGCTCATAATCCCCGAACCAGAACTCCTCACAACCTTCTTTATCTCTTGCACCTCATCATCAGCTTCTTCTTCTTGTCCCTCTGCATCCTCCTCTTCGTCCCTCCCATTATCATCATCTTCCCTCTTTCTAACCTTATTCTTCTTTTTCCTCTTTTCCTTCAACACCTGTTCTTTGATGTCCTCATCTTCATCTTTTTCCATCCTTTTATCTGTCTTCTTGTCTACTTTCAGGCTCAATTCATTTTCCTTTTCTTCCTCATCACCATCATTACAGTTCTCCCACAATTCCTCCTCTTCATTTGGGACAGTGAGGTAGCAATTAGCCAGGCCTTCCTCAAGTCCACAATTCTTCTTTCGATCTCGCTTCCTTATCTTTCTTGTTTCACCAGATTCATCCTTAGATATTTCCGGCATCTTGAGCACACAGTTGAGGCTGGAATGTGCTGCTGTCAATTAGAAATGTATCAAAAATGTCTATCTATTGTATACATAATGATGCAGTTTGCTTTGCAATTCTCCGTCTAAAAGCCTGATGAAACCATAACAAAGATATATGTAAAACTTAACATTTCTTAGTGTTAAAGATAGTACTACGGGAATGTGATAAAACATCAATCCCTGACATGTGTGTGTAATATGATAGTACTATTTTATAAAAAACTGACAAACATACAGATTTAAGGACATTCACAACTAAAACCAAAAGAGACTTCCCACATTGTTTATGCATAAAGAGCTCCTTGGGAATAAATACACCGTATCATAGAGGAAAAAATCAACAAAAAATATAATAGTAATGTAAAACAAAAAAAAGCGCCATTCTGTACGATCGCACGCAGCTATTTCCTGAGCCATGTGCTAAGCTATGATATCAGCATATCAGGTAGCCATAAATGCAAAGGCACTAACACACCATAAACTTCCTTATAAATGGTAGTGAAGTTTTGTCAAATGAGCAACACCGAACAACATTGGATTTAACAAAAAAACTGTGTAATTTGAAAATTGTGCACATGTATAAATGTACATCCTTATTTATACAGAATATACTTATATAACTTTGAGTTTGTGATTAAAGCTGATTGTTGATGTAAATTGCAAAAAATAAAGGAAAATTTGACATTAATAATCTCAACCATTAGTGATCTGCTTGAAATAATCTCAAGTATCAATTTTCTCAAAATAATCCCAAGTATTGAAAAAAATTCTCAAAATGCTCGAATGACTTAAAATAACCCGCAAATTGCTTATATATATGCATGAGCCAGCGGAGCATTTTGAGAATTTTTTCTCATAGGTGGGATTACTTTGAGATAATTGATAATTTGGATTATTTCAAACGGATCACCAATAGTTTGGGATTATTCATATCCTTTTTGCTGATTTTCAATTCAACACCTATGTTTTGCTGGTCTATTCTGTTAATTCTGTTTAAGTCTGGTCTGATCCGGTAAATGTCTGTCTTCGTGTATTTTACAATTGTTCAAGTCTGACAGAAAACATCCTTATACCAACGCTCAACACAATCAAGGGGTTTAATGCACCAAACCCCGTGTGATTTAAAAATGCGTCAAAACCCCCTGTGTTATAATTATTATGCGTAAAAACCCCTCCAAGAGCAAATTTAATTGCCATTTAAATTGAAAATAATTAGTATTTTTGTATAATTAAGCGATCTTGACAAATTTACTTGCATATTTATTTATAATATTAAGATAAGTGATTTAAAAATTGTTAAATTTATTATTGAAAGGGGTTCTGCGCATGAATAAACATAACACATTGTGGGTTTGACGCATTTCTTAAATCACAAGGGGCTAATGTGCCATATTTATATATCTGAAAGGGTTTTGGTGCATTAACCCCTCAATCAAGGTTTGGAAGCCTAACAGATATGAGGATTACTTATGTTAGCCTTCTGAGTGTAGAGGGTCGTTTTTATGTAAGAGAAGGCCTGGCGTAAGAAGGACCTTGGACGGCGGGCAGCGGCGCAGGTCGGCTTGGCAGAATGGCAGCAAGAGGCTTCCTGTCTTCGTCGCTTCCGCTTCGTGCCTTCGTTAGTTCTCAGGTAGGGGTGGTTCGGAACGGTATACCGAATATTTTATCGCATACCTTTACTATACCGTAATCTTTCGGTATGCAAAAATACATACCGTTACCATACCGAAATTTCGGTATACCTTGTTTCGGTATACCGAAATTTCGGTATGATAAGGAACGGTATCAGTAAATTATCATGATTTAATATACAAATTATTATATGTCAAATGAAATAAAGAAAATCAGTGTTAATAGTGATATACTAAAATCATGAATGAAATTAATTACAAAATACCAATGAGATAACCTCTTTGTGTTCTATTCAACTTTGAACAAAACATATTATAAATATGTATAGATGTATAGATATTTCAACACATGATATATGAAGATAACAACACATTCTACTAAAATAATTTAAACAACATAAATATATTTAAAATAACATCGATCTTCAATAAAAAGTATAAATAATTCAAGAAACATGGATATAAAGTGGTTTATCCTTGAATTAGTGTTGTGTTTCTAGTTATTTTTATAAGTTTAAGAAAAATATTGGCTTGGAATTACAGTATGACGGTATACCGGTATACCGAATTACAGTAATTCGGTACGGTATCCTACCGTACCAAAAGTGTCGGTATACCTAACATTTCGGTAAATTCAGTATTTTTCGATATGGTAAGTCCGGTATACCGAAGTTTCAGTATTTTTCCCACCCCTATTCTCAGGTCGGCAGGTGGAAGTCTCAAGCGTGGAACACTGGAACGTGGGTCAATAGGTTTGGGCTGGGCCGGACTTAAAAGGGGAAGAGAGTGTCTGGCGGGCCTGAGACCTGTGTAATGCCTAGCCTGTTCTGGCCTGCTTAATAAATAGGTCATCAGCACATAAGCAATTCTTTTTGTGTTCACCATCTTCATTTAATTAAGGCTAAAGGGTCAAATAGGTCATGTACCGGTCGTGTAAACTCAATTTAGTATCTAAACTTAAAAAAGGTCCAATTCACATCTCGAACCGACAAAAAGGTTTAAATTTCATTTTTTTAAGGTTAAACAATTTGTAAAAAAAGGCCCACTTCGCACTCTTAAACTATTATAAAAGTGCCAAAATTGCAATAAATCAAAAATAAAAAACAAAAACAATTAAAAAAAATAAAAAAATGACCGGTTGTGTTTACTGTAAAGAATGAAATTTGAACCATTTTTTGTCGGCTCGGAGTGTGAATTGAACCTTTTTTAGTTCAGAGATTGAAATGAAAGTGAGATCAATTTCTGTATATCGACTTTACCATCTTTGCTCATCGGAATCCATTAGAGTTGAAAATTACCATTCAAATTTTGATTAATCGATTTCTCAGCTCCCCCTTCACCAGAAATTGAAGAATTCAATTTCCAGGTCATATCCAAGTACAAGCAAATTGAAGAATCCAATTGTGAGCAACATCCATGAAACTTCCTCCATGTGCAAGTATGTCTCTGGGAAGTTTCCTCACACCAAGCAACCACCTTCCTCACACCTCCATTGAAGCTTCTCCTAAGCTTCCACCCATCTTCCTCCCACCTTCCTAGTACCTAGTTTTGGTGCTATAAACAGAGAGCTTGGAGAGTCTTTCTATCATCAAGCAATTTAGATCAAGTAAATTAGAATAGATCATCATAGCACAACCAAGAAGAGTTGTGAATATCCTTGAGAGATATCTGAGGTGTTGTTTTGAGAGTTTTTAGTTAGAGCTTGTATGTCTCTTCTTTCTATTCTTGAAAGTAATAGAAGTGTTTTTCTCTCATATTAGCACGATCCTGTTATGCCCAACAAGTGGTATCAGAGCCTGGTTGAGCTTTTGATATTTTTCCCAGATTTTTTTCAGATAAAATTCTACTGTCTGAAAAATCGAGTTTTTCAGTATTGCTCGGAATTGTAATCTGAATATACCGTTGGATTCATCTCGTCGAGACAAGAAAACTGGTATTTTTGGGGATTTTTTTGGCCACCAGAAGCTGCCGTACGCGCCTCCAAACGCCGGCCAAAAACTGCATGCGCATGCTGACGTCATCACGCGCAGACAGAGGTTGAAGACAGCTGACGTCATCGCTGACATCATCAGCCAGCCAGAGCTGCGTCAGCGACACGTCAGCGCCACATGTGCAGTCCCAACATAGTCAGCCGCCACGTCACCAGTCAATTGCCAACTTTTACCAGCGCCCAGTCAGCTGCCACGTCATCGCCCAGTCACCGCCACGTCATCGTCCAGTCACCGCCACGTCACTGCCACGTCATCTGCCATGTCACCGGTCAGTTTGTAATTTTGAAAATTTGCAGTTTGGTCCCTCAATTTTTGGAAAATTATAATTTCCACCTAAAATTTTTCGGAAATTGTATTTTGACCCCGAAAGTGCCTACCCACCACTTTCGGCCGTTCCGGACGCAACGGTGCTGCCTGTTTTTCGAAATTCGGCTCCGATTTTTCTGAAACAGAAAATCAAAATTATTTAGAAGGTGAAAATGACCTTTGACGAGTCAACCTCATCTTCCGGAGCTATGATTATGCTCACGGCTACCAACTACACGCTATGGAAACCTCGGATGGAAGATTTCCTTAGAAAGACCTTTTTGATCCAATAGAGATGAAAGGTATTAATTCTTATCCGGCCAAGTCAACGAAGTGGAAGAAAATTAATAGAAAAACTATTGGTCAAATCCGACAATGGATTGACCATAGTGTCTTCCACCATGTTGCCCAAGAAACCGATGGTTATGCCCTTTGGAAAAAGTTAGAAGATATGTACCAGGCCAAGACCGCTAGGAACAAGGCCCTACTGATGAGGCGTCTTGTCAATATGAAGCTCAAAAGTGGAACTTCTGTTGCCGAACATACTAGTCAATTTCAGAGTCTGGTAAATCAACTATCTTGTGTAGAAATGCCACTTGGAGATGAAATGCAATCTCTACTGCTTCTTAGTTCCCTTCCTGATAGTTGGGAGACACTAGTTGTTACTCTCAGCAACTCAGCCCCAGATGGCAAACTTACCATGTCTGTGGTCAAGGATGCACTGTTCAATGAGGAGGCAAGAAGGAAAGACATGAGCACAGATGAGACTCATGCCCTTGTGACAGAGAATAGAGGAAGATCACAAGGAAAACAACAAAGAAACAGTAGAGGGAAATGGCAAAGCAGGGGCAAAAGTCGGGGGAGATCATCAGATGGCCGGAAACCTTCTTATACCTGCCACCATTGCGGTATAGAGGGTCACATGAAGAAGAATTGCTACAAATTGCTAGAGGAGCGAGGCAAGAGCAATTCTCAAGCGAAGAGCAAGGGTGGTGAAGCGCTCATCACAATCTCAGGTGATGTGGCGTATTGTACTATCAATGATGAAACATGCCTTCACGTGTCAAGAGAGGACACTGAATGGGTGGTAGATACTGCAGCATCCTACCATGTTACTCCCCACAGGTACTACTTCACAACTTACAAAGCTGGAGACTTTGGAGCAGTGAAGATGGGCAATTTTAGTTCCTCTGGAATAGCTGGAATTGGTGATGTACAAATAAAGACGAGTACTGGGAGCACAATCACTTTGAAGGATGTCAGACATGTTCCAGACCTTCGACTCAATCTCCTGTCAGTGGTATGTCTTGACGAACAGGGGTATGAAAACCACTTTAACAGGGGCACCTGGAAAATGTCAAAGGGCGTTTTGACAATCGCTCGAGGACATGTTTGTGGCACTTTGTACAAAACCCATTTGAGGATTTGTACGGATAGCCTCAACATTGCTGAGGAGACTTCTCAGAATCTGTGGCACCTGAGACTCGACCACATCGGTGAGAAAGGGTTGATTACCTTGATCAAGAAGAACCTTATCAACATCGACAAGAACGCTGCACTGAGTCCTTGCAGTCATTGTCTGTTTGGTAAGCATCATAGAGTATCATTTAGTTCTACTTCAGCTAAAAGATCAGAGTTGTTAAGTTTGGTACACTCTGACGTCTGTGGTCCTTTCGAGGTGGAATCAATCGGTGGAAGCAGATATTTTCTGACTTTTATTGATGATGCTTCTCGGAAAGTGTGGGTGTATTTCCTGATTACAAAAGATCAGGTATTTGAGTGCTTCAAGACATTTCACGTCTTGGTGGAACGTGAAACGGGAAAGAAGCTGAAATGTCTCTGATCTGATAATGGAGGCGAGTATACTTCTAAGGCGTTCGATGCATATTGTAGAGAATATGGCATTCGACATGAGAAGACAGTACCACGCACCCCTCAGCACAACGGCGTTGCTGAAAGAATGAACCGGACTATCATGGAGCGTGTCCGGAGCATGCTGAATATGGCTAAGCTTCCGAAGTCATTCTGGGCAGAAGCAGTCAACACCGCATGCTACCTTATCAACCGATCACCTTCGGTACCACTGAACTTTGAAGTTCCAGAGAGGTTATGGACAGGTAAGGATCCTACATACTCACATCTTAGAGTATTTGGCTGTTCATCATATACACATGTATCCAAAGAGCTCAGGCAGAAGCTCGATGCAAGAACTATCCCATGCATTTTCGTTGGCTATGGAAATGAAGAGTTTGGATACAGGCTATGGGATCCTAAGGAGAAAAAGGTGTTCAGAAGTAGAGATGTTGTGTTCCACGAAGATTTGACAATAGAAGACATTGAAAAACCCACAATGTCTCGGAAGTCAAATGAGGGTGTTCAAGTTTCAAATGAAGCACCAGAAGAGGACAAAGTGCATGAAGATAACTCAGAAACAGAAGAAGGCGAGGAGACAGAAGAGAGTGCAGAGCAAGGGGAGACACAATCCACCCCGCCAGACACAGATGATGGTAGCTCTTCTCAGATGGTCCCTACTGTTCGTAGATCTGAACGAGGGCATATATATACCATCGACAAGGTACACATCATCTGAATATCTTTTGTTAACTGAAGATGGAGAACCAGAGAGTTTTCAAGAAGTTGTATCTCATAAGGATAAAGAAAAATGGCTAATAGCAATGCAGGATGAGTTAGAATCTTTGCAGAAAAATCAAACCTATGAGATCGTAGAACTTCCCATAGGGAAGAAAGCTTTGAGGAACAAATGGGTGTTCAAGCTGAAGAAGGATGCAAGTGGACAAGTGGTGAAACACAAAGCTCGGTTGGTTGTCAAAGGATTCCAGCAGAAGAAGGGAATTGACTTTGATGAGATCTTTGCACCAGTTGTCAAGATGACCTCAATCCGAGTTATACTTGGCTTGGCAGCAAGTATGAACTTGGAGCTTGAACAGATGGATGTGAAGACAGCATTTCTTCACGGAGATTTAGAAGAAGAAATCTATATGCATCAACCGGAAGGTTTTGAGAACTCAAATGATAATTTTGTGTGTAAATTATCTAAGAGTTTGTATGGTTTGAAGCAGGCACCAAGGCAGTGGAATAAAAAGTTTGACTCATGCATGAAGGGTCAAGGCTACAAGAAGACTACTGCGGATGAGTGTGTATACATCAAGAAACTTCCAGACGGTACTTTCATTGCTCTTCTACTATATGTAGACGACATGTTGATTGTTGGGAAAGATGCAGTGAAGATAAACCAACTGAAGAAAGAACTCTCTAAGTCTTTTGATATGAAAGACTTAGGACCGGCTCAACAGATTCTTGGGATGCAGATCACTCGAGACAGGAAGAATCGCAAGTTATGGCTATCTCAGGAGAAGTACATTGAACGAGTACTTGAGAGATTCAACATGAATGATGCCAAGCCAGTAAGTGTTCCACTTGCGAATCACTTCAAGTTGAGCAAAAGAACATGCCCTACATCCAAGGAAGAGATCGGGGAGATGTCAGCAGTTCCATATTCTTCATCAGTTGGGAGTTTGATGTACGCCATGGTATGCACAAGGCCAGAAATCGCACATGCAGTGGGTACAGTGAGTCGTTTTCTCTCTAACCCCGGGAAGGAGCATTAGGAGGCAGTCAAATGGATTCTCAAGTACTTGAAAGGTACCACGAAGTTATGTCTTTGTTACGGAGGAGCTGATCCAGTCTTGGAAGGCTACACAGATGCTGATATGGCAGGAGATACTGATAGTAGAAAGTCTACTTCAGGATATATCTACACTTTTGCAGGGGGAGCCGTTTCTTGGCAATCAAGATTGCAGAAGTGTGTCGCTTTATCTACTACAGAAGCAAAATACATTGCTGTCGCTGAAGCAGGTAAGGAAATGTTGTGGCTAAAGCGCTTTCTCCAAGAACTTGGGATCCAGCAGAAAGAGTACAAAGTACATTGTGACAGTCAGAGTGCTCTAGACTTGAGCAAGAACTCTATGTACCATTCTCGTACAAAACATATTGACATTCGGTATCACTGGATACGGGAGACGATTGATCAACAACTGTTGAGACTAGTGAAGATCAATACAAAGGAGAATCCATCAGACATGCTGACGAAGGTGGTGACACGAGATAAGCTAGAGCTGTGCAGAGACATAGTCGGGATGCTTGTTTTGAATATGCCTGGAAGGGGAGAATTGAAGAATTCAATTTCCAGGTCATATCCAAGTACAAGCAAATTGAAGAATCCAATTGTGAGCAACATCCATGAAACTTCCTCCATGTGCAAGTATGTCTCTGGGAAGTTTCCTCACACCAAGCAACCACCTTCCTCACACCTCCATTGAAGCTTCTCCTAAGCTTCCACCCATCTTCCTCCCACCTTCCTAGTACCTAGTTTTGGTGCTATAAATAGAGAGCTTGGAGAGTCTTTCTATCATCAAGCAATTTAGATCAAGTAAATTAGAATAGATCATCATAGCACAACCAAGAAGAGTTGTGAATATCCTTGAGAGATATGTGAGGTGTTGTTTTGAGAGTTTTTAGTTAGAGCTTGTATGTCTCTTCTTTCTATTCTTGAAAGTAATAGAAGTGTTTTTCTCTCATATTAGCACGATCCTGTTATGCCCAACAGAAATCATCCCAGTTCATGAGAGGAATCATCCCCGTTCAGAATTCCAACTTCTTTTTCTCTACATGTTCAGAAGTCGAACTTCTTCTCCTCTACATGTTCCGAAATTGATTAAATTTCTATTGAATGTAACACATTCTACCATCCCATTTTCAAATTCCAATTTTTTATTCCCATTTCATTTCAACTTTTTATTCCCCTTTTGCTTATATTTCATTCCACTGCACTATGGCTATAGTGTACATTCCATGGCAAGTACTTTGTTTCACTCTATGTTTCATTTTTCTATTTCTTCAGTGTGATTTCCGTTGAAATTCATATCCTCTTTTGACATTCTCCATTATGTTGCACCTAAGTTTGTTGTTGAAAGTATATCTTCTTGAAATTTAGGATCAGATTGAGAACACAAAACATGGAGAAGTGAATAAGGCTTTCTTCCTCTCTTATTGATTAATGTACCCCGTTGGAATAATGTAATGAAAGTGAATTGATCGGCCATTGTTTCACATAAATTTAGTAATTCTGAAAACTCGTTGAGTTGTAAACAAAACCAAATGAAACTACACAGTGTATTGTTTTAAAACTTGCTGAGATTGCTGAGTTATAACACTTGTTGAGTTTAATATTTATTATGGTTTTATATTACTCAGAATGAACCTCAAGAACCCACCAGTCCAGTATCGAGAAAGAAACTTTTAAAAAAAAGAAAGAAAAGAGGGGCAAAATTGTCTTTTGAGACCCGCTGAATTTTACGACTATTGTGTTCGCAGGTCGCTCGCGTAGGGGGGTGCGAATTTTTTATTATGAACTAGAAGCCGGAATTCTTGTGTGTGCGAGAGCTCTCCTCTTCTCATTCACCGTTTAATACTAAGTGAACAGTAGTTCATATTTATAGGCTTAAAAGTTCCCAAGGAATTTAGGTGTGGGAAAGTTTAAAAGATTCCTTTTTCTCCTATACTTGAGAAGAGCATTTTTTCCATCTACCTTCTTTAAGAGCTAGTTTTTGAGCCACTTCAAACTTCAAAGTCCAAAACTCCAACACCAAAGGTCAACACTACAATCAAAGCTTCCAAGAGTCAACCTTGAGATTAAAAGAAAAAAGAAAAAAAATCTCAAGGTTAAGACTATTTTTCTCAAACTCCAAGCTACATTTCAAGGTCCAGGAATTTGCAAAAAATTTCAATCAACCTCACGTCTACAGTCAACATTCAACAATCAGCAATGGATGTCTCTAAGTCATCAATGTGTAAGAACAAATGCACTAAAGTTTCTGATGAGTCTGAGATAAGCAAATCTGACAGTCAACAAATAATCAACAACTTGGAAGACAGGTTAGATAACAACTACAGAAACCTACTTAAAAATCTTGACAAAGTTTCCTCCTTGAGTGTACAATTAGAAAACGAAAAAGATTTCATGTTTGATTTATAGATAATTCCACCTAGCACATGAGCTCATTAGCCTATTCAGTGATTATTGTTTGTAACCAGACATTTCATGTCGCATTCACAGACAACTCCAATTAGCACATTTGCCTGTTCCAGTGGCTATTAACTGTGGCTAGACATTTCATGTCTAGTTCACAGACAATTCCACTTAGCACATGAGCTCATTAACCCATTCAGTGGTTATTGTTTGTGGTCAGACACTTCATATCATGTTCACAGACATTTTTATTTAGTACATTAGTTCGTTCAAGTGGCTATTGTATGTAACTAGACATTTCATTTTTGGTTCACAAACAATTTTACTAAGCACATTAGCCCATTAGCATATTTCGGTGGCTAATCTTGTGCTAATGAGTTAATATGCTAAGTGGAATTGTCTGTGAACAATCATGAAAAGTGTACTAAGTGAAAATGTCTGTGAACCTGATATGAAGTGTCTGACCACAAACAATAGTCACTTGAATGAGCTAATGGCTAAGTGAAATTGTCTGTGAACTAGACATGAAAAGTCCGGCTATAAACAATAACCACTAGAACGAGCAAATGTGCTAATTAGAATTGGCTGTGAATGTGAAATGAAATGTCTAGTTACAAACAAATATCACTGAAACAAGTTAATTTGCCAAGTGAATTTATTTAACCGAGATTCTTAATTTCATAAACAACTATGGTCCATAAAATAGAAAATCAAGTATGAAAAAAGTTATTTAGGTAAGTTATTTTGAAAGATATTTAACTCTTTCATGATTTACATCTATTTTCAATCAGTACAAATTTAATATATCAATGTATCATAATGATAGTAAGATTACTAATCAGCTTTTCGACTAACTTACATCATAGTTTAAAAACATAACTTACTTGCATTGAAGAATTAGTTACAAGAATGACACGTCCCACGTCCCATTATCAATACAATTATTGTGTTTTATTCAATACCAACTCAAAAGATTATATCATCACACTAGTAGAAAAGTGTCTTACAGTGACACTTTTTTTGTGACACTTTTTTAACAAGTGTCACGGATAGACGACCTATATTGTTTCTGACATATAAGTGTCACTGATGTGTGACACTATGACATCAACAAATAGCACTGATACTAAATATAAATTTAGCATTTTATTTTCATTTTTTTGTCTTCAATTTTTTCCTAAACCTAAAGTTCTCTCCATAATTTTTATTCCCCCAAAACAATTACAATTGCCCCCAAAAGTATATTTGCATCGACCCCCCAAAAATCTAGCGTCTCTTTCCAATTCTACACTTATCATTGTACCCGACCCCTAAATCTGAAACCTAGCTATTCTTCTCCAATTCACGCCATAAACCCAACATCATATCTCTTCCGCTAGCCTCTTCCTTCAACCATGCATGGTTGTGGGAAACATGAGTCGGCGCGAAGGGCGGTGGGCGACCATGAGTCGGACAACAACAAGATCTATATGAAATATGACTATGCAGTCCCACTGGAGAAAGAAGGAGACGCGCCGCCGAAGCTAGGCTGGTGATGAAGAATGGCGATAAAGGTAGTGAAGAACATGGATAAGGTCTCCAGGGATTTTAGTCCACCAAGCTAAGTTTCAACTGCTCTGTCAAAAATTTCTCATTTTCATACCAAAATGTAAGTAATTCACACCCATTTAACATATTTTGTTTCATATATTACTAATATGACATCATTATTTTTTAATTTTTACAAATATTTGGTTTCAATGTGGCGATTTCAGATTTCATTTTTAGCCTTGAATTTGTTCTTCTTGGCCGAAATCATCTTTCCTAACCTATCTATGACTTTAACATCTTTGATGGAGTAACGAGGTAATACACCATCACTTATATAGGTTTTTGTTTGTGATGATACTCTAGCTATCTCATATTTATATTTCTGATTTCATTTGTTTAATTACTTATTTGTATTTCTAACTTTTATATGCTTCCATATTGTAAGTGTCATGTTTTAGGTTAGGAAGAAAATGATTGAAGAAAATGTTTATAGTGCTCTTCTCCTGAAGAAGGGTTTTCAAGAATGATGCCTTCAAGGTGTTTGTGAGTATGTCTCAGAGGTAATTTGCTCATATTTTCTCTATTTTCTACTTCACTTAATTATAATTCTAAAGTAAAATGTCTACCAAGTGTAGAACATCATAAGTAACCTATGCTGCCAAGCTTAAGATCAAAGAAGTTAAGGTCTCACCTAAAATTATGATTTAGATGTCCCGTATGTAGTTTATATGTTAGGTTAAATATATCAATATAATGCCTTAATCTGGATTTTAATATTCTATAAGCAGATTCAATGTTTTCTATTGTAATGAAAATAGTTACTACTATTTTGTATCTTACATTTTTGTGATGAAAATTTGTAGGGGGGAAACAACCCTTGCCCTGGGAAATGCTAGTAAGAGTGGCATATATGCCATATTGCACATACTCTGGAACATTGCAATGCTGAAAACAAGAAATCTATCATGATTTTAGATGCCTATAGATTTCTATTTGAAGAGGTATTGTGTAACCCTATCATATCTAGAAGGCCATTGAAATACCATTCATTTAAATATGTGCATGTGCTTATATGAATGGTTATTGATAGACTATTCAGGTGTCTTATTATACCCAAACATATGCTCGGAGTGTTGCTATTTGAAGTAGGCTTTTCCCTTATATGGACTGAAATACTCTTAATATAAATTATATGTGTTGGTTCTTTCTCGCTATCAAATTGTATATGATTTAATTAATGGTGTGATGAACTGATATGTGATTATATTTGCAGATTTTAAGAGTTGGTTGGGATGAGTTTGCACGTGAGATATCCATTTTGAGCTAAGGAAAATGATGTATTACTAGCAAAGGTATTGTGCATTTTTTATATTCTTTAGGGATAGTGGACTAGTTCCATATAGTCACACATATTTCATGAAGTGGGTGAGGACTTTGCTTTTTTATAATAGAATTGTGTTATTATAGCATTTTCATATCCATTGGTTTTGCTATTGGAAAAAGTAGACGATCTTCAAAGTATATTTTTGACTCCCAATTAAACCTTCTCACTCGAAAATCTAGCCCCTTCATTTTCTTTCAAGAAATACTGTCTCGGGATTGATATTTGTTTCTATAACAGAAATATGTGCAACTGAGAGTAGGGAAACCAGTTCTCTTACATCAGCCGCATCTAGAATGATTTTCCAAGAACTAAATGAGTACTTTCGTCCATACTATAAGTCTATAATGCTTTGGTACAAAAAAGAAAGTACATAGCTTTCTCTGAATGAACACTGTAGGGTTAATGATATCATCAAATGTGGGTACCATGTTACTTAGGCTTTGCAAGCATATGTGGAGGTTCAGTGGAAATTGCATGAGCAGTTAGAGGTTTGTCTATGCCCTCGTGT